GGAGCCACACGCAGAACGCACCACCATTTCTCATCTCTCCTCCTGCACCTCCTCTTCTCTCTCCCCTCTTGGCCAGGGGCCGATGTCCAACATTCTCCCGGGTCCCATTTCCTGGCTCTTCCCCAAAGTGGTGCGGCTGACCAGCACCCTCTGAGCAAACAGCACAGCTCCCCGCCCGCCTCTTCTGCGTGGGAGCGATCCCAGCTCCCGTTTCCGGTCTGTGAGGGCACTTCCGGAGGCTCTCCGCTCCAGGAACTGAGCCTGGGCCTGGGCTTGTGGCCTCCAGGTGAGCAGCATTCACGGCACAGCCCCATGCTTCCTAAAGGTAGGAATTGGTAAGAGTTTGCAGACTACAGCATTCCTGTATCAAACAATATTTTTAATTTAAGGGAAAAAATTAATTTGACCAATCTCCAATGATAAGGAGTGGGACATCATTTAGAACAAAATTTAAGGTGAGCTCTAAACCCTAAGTATAGTCAGATACCGTGACACTAATCGTAACGGTCACAACCAAACCCAAAGGGACTTTAGGTCACCTGGCTGGCGCTTTCATGACATCCCCCCCCCCCCCCCCACTTCTACCAGCTGTCACCCAAATAGCATTTCTGAAGCTGCAGCTCTGGCTGTCCTAGTGAAAGTGTCTAAATGATTGTTTTCCGCGAGCCTAAGAAGTGGCTCCCACGGGCTTCTCCAGCTGCCACTGGCTCCGCTTCCCTCTCCCTCCCCCTCTCAGGAGCAGAGGTGCGGCCGGCAAGCCCAGCATGTCCCCGGCACGCTGCTCCGGCCTGCCACTCACCCAGCCAGGAGAGTCCTCCCACACGACAGCTTCCCTCCAGGTCTCGGCAGGTTGGAATCAGGGTTTGTCTAAAGGCCTAATTTGCTCAGAATTACTAATGCAGAGATGGCAAACAGATTTCGTGTTGTTCATTAACTCTGATTGGAAGTGGCTGCCTGAAGCATTGATCAGTTAGCAGAGGCTGCGTGTACACACGGGGGTATGTGTGGGAAATGAGGGACACATCTCAGACAGCTGCCTTTATTGACTGAAGGTCTTCATTAACTCTTTCCGTAACTGGCTGCCACGTTTACAACCTGAATTCATTGCCTTGGGATATTTTCCTGCAGTAGCGGAGCATCAGCAAACCTCAGCTAAAGCGTTTGAAAAATACCCCTAAAACAGACTCTAGCGAGGTAGGTGGTCAAGAGACCTGCTGTGGTTTCTGCCCCAGAGTGCAGCAGTCAGCGTTAGCGCAGGGCGTGGTGAGCTGTGGCACCGAGAGCAGCCTGCTGGATGGTGATGGGGAGAGCCCGGCTCTGTGGAATGCTCACCGGGTACTGCTGGACACGCTATGAAAGCCCCACTCAGCAGCTCTAGTTATGAGATGACAACCGAGCATGCCAGAGCTCAGGGTGAGGTCACCGGGGCCCCGGCCGGCGTGTGTGACGAAGGGCGTCTCTGTGGCCCTAACTGACCCGGCTTCCACTGGGCTCTTGAAAACACAGGGCCATTGACGATTCGTTCTGCAGAGCGGAGCGCCCTAGGGCAGTCCCAGATCTGGGAACAGGGCGGTGTGACGCCAGTGCGTGCATGATCAAAGAAGGCAGGGGGTCTGCAAGGGGATAAGGGCGGAGGACCTGGAGGACGAACGCCTCAACAGAAAACTGACTCCAAGAGTCACTGTCGAGGCCTGAAGTTAGGGGGGGAATTAAGCACGCTCTTCTCATTCAACCTCACACCTGTTCAGACTAATCTTCTGAAGCCCCTTCCATGATCTTTTGTCACCCATTGTGTCAAATCTTCCACTGAATGATGAGGTGAGGAGGAGGGGGAAAGCTGGACCACTCTGAGGAAGAGTTCGGACTGAAATTTTGAACTTCTTGTTTGGCGGGAAAGTGGAGGGGGTGCTGCACCCTATCATCCCCACCAGATTGGTCCCTGCCCTGTATGGAAGGGGGCGTGTGGTGGAGCAGCTATGCCCACTGGCTTTGGAAGCTCCCAGACATGGGTTTAACTTCCAGGCCTGGCATGTGCCAGCTGTGTGTAACTTCAGGCAAGTTACTAAAATCTCTCTGGTCTCAGTTTTTCCATCTGTAAAATGGGAGTGATAACCTACACAGAAGGTGGTTGTGGGGTTAAATGAGGTGACCCCCCCAAAAGGGGCTTAGGTCACTGACTGGCCCACACCAAGTGTCTCCCTGGGGCCCTGCTGTTACTGTCATAGAAGGAGCTGCCGAGGAAGCTGCACGGGGGCTGATGTGGCTCCCAGAACAGAGCTTACGAGGCTCAAGGCTCATGGGATGAGAAGGAGAGTGGCACATGGAATACTGATGTCCTTGGTCACTACGATCCAAAATAGCAGGCATGTGGTTGCTTGGCATTGGCACCAACCTCAACCAGGCCCAGTCTGAATTCTTCAGGTTCTTCCCCTAAAAGTAGCCTCCTGCGGCTCCTCCATCTCCATCCTCAGCTCCCAAACCTTGACTCCCCTCTTTCTCTTACACCCCAATCCACCCCAGGGGAAGCCTCTCTTGCCTGGATCATCATGCTGCCGTCTACAGGTCTTCTGGCACCCACCTCGCCCACTTCTGTTTATTCTCTACTCTTTGGCGGCTCTCCTGTTTAACACCGAGTGCTTCCAACGGCACTCAGATTAGAAGCCAGCATTCTGCGGGTAGCCTCGCAGGTCCTGCAGCGTCTGCCCTGTGTCCACCCGACCCACGCCCCTCAGACAAGGTGGCCTGCTCTCCGCTTCCTGAGCACACCAGGCCCTCACACCCGGGCTCCTCTGCTGGAAGCTCTTCCCCAGATACCTGCATGGCTTGCTCCCTCACCTCCTCCCTTAGTTGAATGTCACCTTCTCAGGGAGGTCTTTTTTCAACTATTCTATTTTAAATCGTCCCCTGTGGTAGGCTTCATAATAGCCCTTAAGGATATCCATGTCCCAATTCCAGGAACCTGTGAATGTCACCTTATACACCAAAGGGGATTGTGCAGATGTGAGTAACCGAAGGATCTCGGGTTAGGAAGATTGTCCAGGAGGATGCGGGTGGGCCCAGTGTAATCACAGGATTCTCATAAAACAGAGGCCGAGGGGGATTTAACTACTGATACGGATAAAAGGCAATGTGACAATGGAAGCAGCGGTTACAGCGATGCAGCTACAAGTCCAGGGGTGTCATCAGCCTCCAGAAGCTGAAGAGGGGAGGAACAGGTTCTCCCCATGACCTGCCTGACGACACTTGGACTTTAGCTCTTGAGATGGATTTGAAACTTGGGGTCTCTGGAACGATTTAAGAGAGTGAATGTGTATTAAGTCACTGACTTTGTGATAATATGTTACAGCAGCCATAGGAGGCTAATACACACCCATGTGCACATATACCCACCCCCTATTCTCCTTCCTGCTTTAAATTCCCCTCCAGCCTTATCTGAGTCCCTTCCTTAGGTCATCTGTCTCTCTCACTAGGGTGTCAGCTTCATGGGGACAGGAGCCTCTGTCTGTTTCCTTCTCTGATGGATCCCCAGTGCCTGCATCAGGAACTGCTTTTTGTGGAATGAATGGGTCAGTATCAGTGTGAACTCTGGCTACACCCCTAAAGATGGGGAGCCCTCCTCTCTCTGTGACCCAGGCTCTCACAGGACCCTGCCCAGCCCATACCAGTCTACAGAGGGCTCCAATCCTCATAGGAGGACAAGGCTGCCCTTCTTCCTGTCCCCCTGGAAGCCTTGAATGCTGGGAGGTGGCATGCAAGTGGCACACATGAACCAGGGTGCCAGGTACAGCTCTGGTGACCAGCCCACCCCTGTCTGCCTGTGGCACAGGGAGGCAGTGCAGTGCAGAGATCTGACCTTAGAGCCAGGCTCTGGGATGGCAGCATCCCCAGCCTCAACTTTCTCCTGTGCAAACGGGGATAACACCAGGACCCCACCAAGGGGTTTGGCCAGAACTAAGCAAGACAAATGGTTGCTAATCCATTCTCATTTTAGTGAGGTGTTGCTTATTCTTGTTTTGTGGCCTGCTGTGTGCTGCCAGTCCAGAGAAGCGGTAAGGCCCAGGCTTGTCCTTGCGGTGCTCAGGGCAGGTGGCAGTTCATGGTGGGCCCGCCAAGAGGCCCTGGGTCCTGTCCTGGAGCCTCATTCTCAGGAATTCTGGCCTAAAGGGGTACTGAGACCCGCATGGCCAGGTCCTTCCTGCACAAGTTTCAGGGGACAGTCCCCCGAGGCCCTAATCCTCCAGGGAGCCATCACTGCCCCCTGGATGTCATTAGATAATCTCCTTACTGGTTAGGACAACGGTGCTGAGAGCACTGGTGATGAACTCTTAGGGTCTTTAATGCAGAGCAGAAAGCTGAGGCAGGGATGGCAGCTCTAACCCGGCCTCACCTCCAGCCTCAGCGGTGCAGCCCTCCTGCTCCGCATGAGCCAGCAGGGGAGACGGGTGTTGGGGTTGGTGTGTGTGTGTGGGGTGGGGGTGGGGGGGCTGCTGTGGTGAAAGCAGAGCTTTGAAGGTTAACAGCTCAGGACTTGGTGGTGGTTGGCGGGAAGTCAGGTCAACTGCCCAGCTCTGAGTCTTGCTGGCCATTTGATCTTGGACAGATGTCAACCTTTCCAAGCCTCAGTTTACTCATCTGTAAAATGAGGATAGTAGGAGTACCAATCAAAGAGGATTGTTGTGAAGCTTCATTTATATGAGAACAATCATGTAAATGGCTTGGCTGGGTGCCTGGTACAAGGTTAGCACTCAGTAAATGACGGCTACGGCGATGGCAAGGAGGGTGATGATGATGATACCAGTGGGTTCTGTGGCCCAAGGTCTATTTCTCGATCCCATGATACCATGCAGCCTCTCACTGCTTCCCATGGGATGTAAGAAGAGGGAAAGGGGGCTCCAACATCCATGGGATAGAGAGGACCTGCTCCCCAGTCTGAGCTCCACAGCCGCCGTCTCTGGCACACAGGAGCTGGAGAAGGGGTCATGACATGGCGAATTCCTTACCTTGGTTGTCGTAGGAAGTGATGACCTGGGTCTGCTGAGGATGCTGCTTCTCTGCCAGGTTTCCTATTTAAGGAAGACAGAGGAACCTGCCGTGACCACTGGGACCACAGTGGAATTTTCCCCGGGCAGAGCGGGGAGCTGCGTTTCTGCAAGAAAGGCAGGCTGGTGGGGGCCCAGGTCATCCCAGGCCTGGCCTGAACACAGGCACACCCGCCTGCACAGCCCCACAGCGTGCATACGTGGGAATCAGCAGTCACACACCTGAACGCAGAGGCACACGACTGGAAGCCCTGTGCACACACCTTCACACCTCCCAGCAGGTGCCAACACAGATTCTTTTTTTTTTTTTGTACTTTTACTACTAGCTTCGTTTGACTATTGGAGTCATGGTTTTTAGTGTTCCTCATAGTTTTCAAAAAATATATATCCAAATTTTTATACTATTATGGGAATGTGGTTCTTTGGCCTTTTTTGAGGATACTAATGCGATCCTTTTCCTTTAAAAAAACTTTTATTGAATTTATTGGGGTGACATTGGTTAATAGAATTCTATAGGTCTCGGTGCACAATTCTATAACATGTCATCTGTATGTTGTATTGTGTGCTCACCACCCAATACAGAGTCTTCAAAAGAAACTGGGGATGCCTCCATGGGTTAAGTAACCATGACTTCAGACTTTGGTGTCGCTGGGCACAGTCTTCAAAGCGCATGGGGATGCCTGACATTCCCACGGTTTAGTAGAGCAGGCTGAGAGGTTCCTGTCCGGATTTTATAGCTGAGGGACCAGCAGCTCGGACTGGTTAACTTTTGCCAGTCTCTGCAGCTAGGGAGCATCAGACCTAGGGCCTGACCCCAAGCTTCTGGGCTCCTAGCTCCACCTCCTGCCTCCCTCTGAGAAGAATGGGGTAGCCTGCCTCTTACTCTAGCCCAGGAGTTGGGGTGATTTGCAGTTTGGTTCAGCTGCACGAACATTTGCAAGGCGCCCACTATGTGAAAGTGCTCTACATGTGCTAGTAATGTTTATGTCCCCGGAACACGGAGCTGTCCTCAGGGTCTAGTGGGGTCAGAGAGGAGATGCCCTGCTCCTGCCATAGGCGATGAGGAGGAACCCACAGGCTTCTTGGGGAAGCACCACCTTTCCTACATCTCTCCCTTTACAGATGCTGAGGTGGCCTGGTCTTACTGAGGTTGCCCTTGAATTTCTGCTTCAGAGAGGTGGGAGAAGGAGCTGGAAAGGCCAGGGTTGTGGCAGCCAGGGAGGTGACGATGATGATACCTGATGAGACCCACTGCTACCACCTTGGCTAGCCATCTTCTCCCCTGGCCTCCACTGGTCTGCAGAAAGGCTGTCAGGCCTGCCACTGGAAGTGACCACTGGGACCAGTTTCTGGGTCTGGAAACAAGCCTGACTCTGGGGCACTGGCCTGACCAAGTTCCATTCAGATGCGTCCCTCGTGCACCCAACCAGATCTGCTGCTCAGAGCTCCCACGCCTGGGTCCAAGCAGAAGCCAGTCATGGTGGGTGGTGGGGCCCTGAGCTGGGCGGGGCTTTCGATCCACCTGGCAGCGTCTTGCCCTGGAGAACCCTGCTGGCTCCAGCCTTCTGTAAGCAGGTCAGCCAGGACCCTGAGCCCCCCGGGCCATGATAGGTTGATCAGCTGAGGGCCAGCTCCAGGCCAGACTCAGGCTAGGGGACAGGGAGGCCACCTCCTACGGGCACAGCTGGCTGTATTTCGGCTGGCCGAGGGAGGAAACAGGATCTGGGAAGGGAATCCTCAAGGAGGCAATTAGCTGGCATAGCTGTTGTGGGGTATTTATAGTCAGGGCTGCACAATTGGTTTCCCTGTAGCTGTGGGGCGTCAATCCCTGTGCTGCTAGGCAGACTTCAGCCAGGACCAAGGAAAGCAGCCAATCACAGCAGGGGAAGCCCGTTGCTGGGCAAGCTGGGGGGTGGGGGTGGCTTGGCCCTATACACCAGCTGCTTGGAAAAGTTTGGAGCCCTCTAAGCTCCCCTCACCCTGCCAACACCCCAGCCCAAGGAGTGCACAGAGCAGCAAAAGGGGGCACATGTGCCCTCCTGGATCAGTCCCAGGTTCAGCCACATTCGTGCACACTCCACCAGCATAAGCCATCAGCTGTTTCCTTCTCAGCTGAGCACGCCATCCAGTTCCCAGGGCTGGGCGGGAGGGCCTGCTGGTACCAGGGCTGGGTGCCTTGCGCACCAGCAAGGCAGATATGTACCCAGAATCTCACCATCAGAAAACAGAAAAAAGCCATACCTTTAACTTCCACATGCATGCAAGTGTGTCATTTAAAAAATAAATAAAATTTTACTTTAAATTACATATATTGGAGGAGTGGTCTGGGTTCGAGGCCTCTTCGGCCCTGCATGTGCCTGAAACTCTTAGTTTTTGCAAGAACTACTTTAATCATCCTCTTTTTTGGATGACACATTCTGCTAAGACCTTTTAGAAGAGTCTTGTAAAAGTTACCGTGTCCCTTTGTGTTTTGTTGTATTTCCCACTAAACTTCCCCCAAATTAGGAACCCCAAAGATGGTAAAAAGAGGATGAATTCAATATAATTCAATGCTCTCCTGATGTAATAACATGCCAGAGAAGACATAGGATGAATTTCAGACAACCCAGGCAAGGTGAGAGGGCTGCAACAAACCACTGCGGCCCGATTGCCCACTTGCCCGTGGGCACAGTGGCCCGGCACACAGGCCTGCATGGGCTATGTGTTTCTATGGCCAACAGGTCTCTGGAGGTCTGAGTTTTATCTTAATTCTCACAAGCCTGCAGCATAGTTTTGTTAACTTCGGTGTCTGCTTCAGTAGAGCTGTGGCAGCAGGTGCATCTCCCATCGGATAGCCCCACAGCAAGGTTAAGGAAGACACCCCACCCATGCACGCCCATCAGCTGGGACTCAGCGGGTGGTCTCTAGAAGTGCATGTCATGAGAATGATTCATCCCCATGCACAGGGCAGAGGACAAAGGCACACTCTTCACCTCCAGGACACTGAGACTCATAAATGACGTTATGATTACAATCATTTTAATGTAGCCCCGTGAGGGCAGAGGTTCTTGACTGTATTGTCTACTGTTTCATCCCCAACAATTAGAATCCCATCTGTCACAGAGTAAGCACTGTAGACCTTTACTGAGGAAATAAATGAGTGAATTTACTTTTAGAACCTCATCCTTTCCTTTTGTTACTGTCAGAAGGATGGCAAAGCAGAGCTGTTTGGTCTTGTTCATTTGGGGTTCTGTTTCCCCATTGGTGGAAGGTCACAGAGGGTGGTTCCTTCTCACTGGTATTTGATCAGTCAGTCATCTGTTCTGGACTCTGACTGAGCCCCCTATTGGAGTTCCGAGTGGTGGTCTCACTCTTATTAGAATTCTCACACACCCCGACGAAGTTACACTGATGTTTGCTCCTGGAGGCTGGGCTAATGAATCTCTGACGGGCACAGAATAGGGCTTAGTAGAGCTGGTCCATGCATAAAATCCCCAGATCTGGGGCTTGCAGGACGACAGGCACCTGGCACCAGAGAGAGGAGGCTTTGGAAGCTGGCTTCTCTCAGATTTTATGGTCGTCTGGGTCCCGGGCCAGCAGGTAGCCACTGGCATCTCCCAGGCCTCCAGGCAGGACGCTGTCCCCTCTATTCAGAAAAAAAGTCCCAAAGATGGATAGCCTGTAGGACATGAGCAGCCCCACCTCTGTGGGAACACACCTACCTCACATCCCAAACGACATCCGTGAACACATGGGTACAAAAACGTATGGCATTGCCCCCATCCAGCCTCCAGGAAATCAGGGGACCTGATGCCAGGGAAAACTTTCCAGGGTCACAGTGGCCCCAGATGCCTGGCTGAGTTACAAGCAGCCACTTCTGAGTGGTTAGGTGACTAGAGCCAGTCTTCAAACAAATGAGACCCAATGTGTCCAGTCATTTCAAAACGTGTTGAAGTCCAGAAACTAAAAAGAAAAAAATAAATGAAAAGGGAGAATTTACCATACAGGCCGTTTCCTTCTATTTTCTGCCATTTCTGTATTCCGTTTCCGCCGCCTTGGAGTCCTGTGAAATAACAAGGACTGGCATGAGGCTCTCTGTGGTGCCGAGACCCAGGCCAGCAAATGATGTGCTAGTGTGTACGCATCTGGATTAACGTGGGGCTGGTGGAATGTGGCTCTCCCAGGATCTGAGGGAGGCTACCCAGGATGGAGATACACGTAGGAGCATGAATGCAACCATTCATATTTTAAACATTTGAAAAAATATTAAAACAGTAGTTTCCAATGGGGGAAGGGCTGGTTATCAGAATCATCGCAACAGAGAGGCCCATTTTTCACTCCCACATCTCCACTGCATAAATATGGGAGGATTGTTGTCAAAGACATTTGCCATTCACTTTGCCTGCCTATTTCTGTATGTGGTAAGTCTCCCACTTTTAGAGTCTTGATGTGGGATGGGAGTGGGCAAAGATTGCCTATCCCTATGGAAACTGAAAGTGATAGTAGCCTGCTCTCCCAGCCTCCCTTGCAGCTAGAGCATGGACATATGTGGCCTAGGCTTGGCCCGTCAGTGGCACCTGTGTCCAATTCCATCTTGGGACCTGGTGAGGCAACAGGAAAGAGAATGGAAGCTTTCTCTACCTCCGGTGATAGTTGGAAGTGGTGGCTGCAAGGTCAAGTTCCTGGCACAGAACTGGCATATGTTCTGGCAATGGGAACAGCTGCAATAAAATCAAGTTCCTGGTGCGAAAAGAGCACCTAGGGACCCTTGGTGGCAGTGGAGGTCTCCTCACCGGAGCAGCTCATGAGGCTGTTCCTGGAAGTTCAGCCTCAAGCCTGGTCCTCCAGCCCTTTCCACCGCTCTAAGGCTCCCCAGTCCCTCCTCCTGCAGAGCCCTGCACAGTCAGTGTCTGGGACCTACCGCCTGGAAACCTCAGCAGCACACCTTTGGAGAGGAATGCATACGTCACATCAGCTTTGGGGCTAAAATCTAAAACTTTGAAGCTCCTTCAGTCTTGGTGAAAACAGCTTTAGGCCACCTTGTCCACAGCCACAGGAATGTCCGAGTGGACTCCAGGGCCTCCAGGCATGGTTTTGAGAAGCACTGCTCTAAGCCTTAGAGTGGAAGTCATGGCTGGGAAAATGCTAGGGCCCTAGAGGAAAGAGGAGAGAGCACCTGTTGGCCTTACAGCCCAAATTCCTGGTGCCACACTCCTTGCCTCCTGTCCCCCTGACTACTTTTTGCCACAAGGACACAGCTGAAAGGCCCTTAAGTCACATCTTCAGTCAGTCCTCTGCATGGTGACAGTATCTGAGCTCAGGCCATCCTTTGCAGAGCAGAGGACCTGGAGCTGGGAGGAGACTCCGGGAATTGGGCATGGGTGAGTTCTGGGTCTGTGCACCAACAGGAGGCCTTGGAACAAGCTAGAATTGCTCAGCATTTCTCCTCCTTAGGCTGCATGGGCTTGCAAGCTGGCTTAGCCAGGGGTCTCCTGGACAACACCACTGCCCAGCAGGCCTCGCAGGCTGTGCACGCCCCCTCTTCTCTGCTCCGGTGCAGAACTGTCTGACTGAATATGAGACACAGGTCTCTCCACTGACATAGGGTCTGGGAGAAACATCTGTTAGGAAAATATTTGGAGAAAAATATCAGCAGAAAGGGCTCACAAGCGGGGTCTTTTTTCCCCGAGTCACAGCCGTGAGTGTCGAGCGCACCGGTCTGGAGTCCTGCAGGGTTGGTGGTAGACGTTTGACACCTTCCGGAGCAGTCCTGATCCTTGCACTTCTGGGGCTTCACCCTTTCTTTCTAGTGACAGAGCCTTTAGGAGACGTGATCAGAGTGGGAGAGGAGCTAGGGACTCATGGGCTGGCCCAGAGCTGGGCCTCGTGGGGGCCCTCTGGCTGTGCCACACCCTGCGGGAGGCCTTCTGGTATCAGAAAGCTGGCGGCCTCTGCCCGTTTCCTCATTGCAGATATCCCGGGTGGGCATTTTCCCTTCTTCTAGGGGCAGCTCTGAGAAATAAAGAACCAATCCACCCAAACAACTGTTGGCCCCCAAATTGCTCCCGAGACTGGAGTACCTGTTAACATTCTCAGCTCTCCAGAATCTATGCCCCCTGCCCCCCTGCTTGCCTCCCCAAGGGATCACCAGGAGCTATGGGACAGCTCCAGCCTGTGTGGCTGGTGGGGGCAAAGCCATCCATGGTGTCATTGCTTCAACGCAGATGGTGGAAGGTGGACGTTCAATGTGCAAGGGGGCTCTGAGGACAGAAGAGCTGGGCAGACTCCAAGGAGCTCTGGAGCTGGAGGGGAGGCGGGAGGCAGAAGCCATTTTGCCGCGACTGTCAGGCATCCCTCTCAAAGCACTGGTGCACAGGCAGCCCAGTGCATGCGCACACCTCTCCGCCAGGGTTCCTGGGGCCTTCCTCCCAGAGGTTCCCAGACATCGGAGGGGCTTCGTTAACAATTATTATGTGTCTGTGCCCCCTGCATGCTGTGAGAATACAGAGGCTCAGGACCTGCCTCCCACAATCGCTTTATAAACAATCACTTTATTTTACCCGTCTACACTTGGCCAGAAAGTCCGAAGAAAAGGAAAATTAGTAGATAAGGTGGGGACAGCAGATTCCAAGCCTAACCCTATCCAAGTCTGTGCTCTTTACACCTCTTATGCCTTCTGTGGAGGAGGGGGAGAGGGCTTAAGAAAAGGAAACCGAGGCTGCAAGTTGTGCAAGGGCACCAAGGGAGATTCCCATCTTCAAGTCTGACTCAGCACCCAGATTTCCCTGGGATCCTTGCTCCCTGCATGTGCAATGGGGAGCAGGCTCTGGCCACCCAGGATTCAGGCCTGAGATTCTGGGCCCCTTCTTCCCGGGCATCTTCCAACCCTGACCCGCACCTTTCAGAGAGTGGTTGGAGGAAACTGGCTGCCTGGGTTGACGGAAGCACCGCAGGCCTGCACAGGAGTCAACTCAGGGCAATCACGGGGCTGCGCGTTGCCAAGGGACGCCAGAGCCACAGCTTGGAGGCGCAGGCAGCCATGGGGAGAGGGTCGTGTCGCTGTGCTCATTTGGGGGCGTGAGGGGCGTCCCCACGGCGGGCGGACCCTGGGGTGAAGAGGCCGAGGTGCTAGGACCTCTGGGGGTCGGCCGGGCGCGCGTTACCTCCTCTGCGATGCGGCAGCGCGCCCGGGTCCGCCTGCCGGTCCGAGTGCGTGCCCTGCGCGGCGCGCCGTTTCTCCGAGTGCACGATCAGCAGCATGTCGATGGACACGGTGTTGCTGTCCTTCTTCAGCTCCATGGTGCCACCTCGCTCCCCGCCGGCGCGCCGCGGCCGCTCGTAAGGCTGCCTGCGCTGCAAATGGCCCCGTGCGCGCTGCTGCCCGGCGCGGGAGATGGCGAGGGCGCGGGAGAGGGCGCTCCCCCGCCACCTAGCCGCTGCGCGCTGCGTTTCGCTGACTCTGCCAAACACGCCATTAGGCCCGCCAGGGAGGGCGCTCCCCTAATGTAGCGGGTCTAAGTCACCTTTGAAAGGAAATCCCCAGTTGAGCCCAGACCTGCACTGAGGCCACTGGCCCCAGAGCCTCCCGCTCTGCGCCCCTGCCTGCCGCTGTAAGCACTTGTCCCTGACGCCAGGACTGTCTTCTGTGTGGCTGGTGCACCTCATTCCTGCTATCTCGGGGTGGGGGGTTCCCCAAGAGGGCCTGAAGCAGACCTTCTCCAAAAGCCATGGCAAATACAGAATCGCACAGTGCTGTCAACAGTGAGTCAGTTCAGAGGAAGGAAAAACAGGGCTCCAGATTGCATGGCAAGGTGTGGAGAAATTGGCCAACTTTTGGCCTTGGCCCAGCTCCTTCCTGGTGTGGGTTTTGGAGATTGACAGCTCCCTGTCTAAGAAGGAAATGGATGGGGTCTTGGGATCATAAGCTCCCCCTTACCCCCACCCCGATTATGGCCCTACCAGAACTTGGAACATGCCCACTGGGCATCCACCCAACAGCTCTCTCTGGCCTGAAGTGAAAACCTTAACATCTCAGTTCCTTCTACAAGCCTGGATCCTGCTGGTGGGCAAGTGGGGAGGGGGGAGGAGGAGGCTGGGCCCAGGGAGCAGCCTGCCTGCTGTGGTCAGGGAGCTGGACCTGAGAGCCCTTCTATTTTTAGCCGGGCCTGGCCTGCCCAGGCAACAGCAGCAGGGCCTTTGGCTCCAGGTCCTAGGAGTGTTTACAGCGGCATCTTTCTGGTAGCCCTTGGCATGGGGGGGCCCACCTCGCCAGAGTCAGTCCCCTAACTTGAGTGTCCGCCATGAATAAATGCTGAGCATATGGAGGCCTTTCCTTTTTCCTTGGAGCATGGTCCTCTTGGAGGCAGACTGCGCTGTGCAGGCCTGGGTTCTAGTCCCAGCTCCACTACTCATTGCCTGTGCAACCTTCGACCAGCTGTCTCCCCTTGATTTTCTCACCCATACCACAGGCATAATACACATTCTCACGGGGACACTGTGAGAATGGCGTGCACCTGAGGTGCCTGGCTCATAATAAATGGTCTCCAAATGGTAGCTGTCATTCTTACCTCATTTGAAGGGTGAGGATAGGGACAGGCTTTAAAGAGAGAAGTCAGTGATGGAGTGGGGGGTCACCCAGCTGTACCCTCAGACTCGGAAGATCTCTCCCCTCTGACTGTGGCTCACACTTTGGCTGCCTGCAAAGGCAGCTGCCTCATTGCATCACCACCGCCCCCTCTCCCACTGGGCATCTGATGGAGAGAGAGGTCACTGGCTTCTGACACTGTTGAACTGGAGTCCTAGAGATCTGAGCTGAGGACCAGTGGAGGTGGGTGACTCCTGAGGCAGGTCTCCTCATGCAGTGAGTCCTGTCTTCTCTGCACATGGCTGAGAGGCTGGCTGAGCTTTGCTGCTTTTCAGATGGCTGGGGAAGTAAGATCTGTGGATTACGAAAAGCCCCTGGGGCCTTGGAGATTGCTCAGGCAGCTCTCTCATGTCAGTGTACCTCCATCTCATGTGGGACAGTGTGGCCCACCTCCTTCGAGGGTGCAGATCCCAACAGAAGCTCCTAGGCAGCACCTTTCCTAGGAGGGGGGCTGAGTGGGGAGAGCCGTGACCCTGACGCCCCTTAACCTGAAATTTGTGTTCCCAGCCCCCACACGTACTCCCCTGCTTCAGAGGGTCTCACTTAGGATCTAGCTCCCCATGATGGCCTTCACAGAGCTGCCTCTGGAGGGGATGCTGAGCAGGGCTTCGCCTCTGTGGCACATGGACATTTGGGGACCAGGTAATTCTTTGTTGTAGGGGGATGTCCCGTGCATTCCTGAGATCTAAAGACTAGAACCCAGAAAAAAAAACACTTCTCTTTTGTGACAACCCAGAATGTCTCCAATCGTTGACAATATTTTTGGGGGACAAAATGCAGTGAGAACACTGCTTTGGAATGAAGCCATGAAATAGGGGTGGTGTTGCCTTAACTGCTCTGGGAGATGCTGCCGCCCCTCGATCCTGACGCTGCACAGAACCTGGAGCCACTGCTCAGGACTCCCACCCATGGCCCCCAGTCCAGCAGCAGGCTTCCTGGGTCTGCAGAGCGGCTCCCTGCCAGGAGCATGGGCAGAGAGATGAGATGATGTCCTCACTGCCCACCTCCTCCTTTTGATAAAGTGGTCAAAATGGCTGGACTGTTGCCTTAATCCTCCGTCACAGGTGATGACCAGGCATGCCCAGCTGTCACTCATACTGCCTCCACCCCTGTGCTAAAAGGTGGGATTCGTCAGCTGTCTGACTGGTTCTGAGCCATGAGCTGACTCTGCATCTTGGAGAGGGCAATGGGCGACAGGGGGAGGCTTGCTCCTAGTAGATGAGGCCTTCGCCAGGAAGTGTGTGTTCTGACGCACATTATTGTCTTTCCTCAGAAATAGGAGTTCCTCAGGGGCCATCAGCCATAACGCTTTTTCCTCTCCAGAGATTCCCAAGAGGCACATGGAGAGTGGGGAAGGGTCGGTGACCTATCCAAGGTCCTCTCATAGGTAGCAGGTGACACCCTCTCTTTATGATTCCAAAGCTCCCTCCCCCATGACCATCACATGCCTGTGAGCCGGGCTGCTTAGCGCCCTGGTCCAGGGTAGAGCAGCCACCAGCCTGCAGGGAAGAGGGTCTCAACAGTCCTGATGAACACAGCTTGGGCCAGGGTCTAAGATCTCTGCCGAGACTCTGGGAAAAATCCTTTGGACTCAAGCCTTTGGGGACAGCTTTCCCAGGCTCTGTGGCCAGGGTGGCAGAGAACTGCTGGCAGTGGCAGTAGTCACAAGTTGTTGGTCAGGCGCAACCAACTGCCTTCAGGAGCAGTGAGGCAGCCCTGCCAGGGATGCAGGGAGAGGCGGAGGCCTGCCATTTTCAGAGCCATGACAAGGAATTGTGTGCTGCAGTAAGCTCCATAGCATGAGGGGGGCTCTCCAATTCTGCTAGGTTTGCTGCCAAGCCCAGGCAGCAGCTTGTTCTTGAGCCCTTATTACGTGCAATGACATTATGGTGAAGTGGCAGAGTAAGCACAGAGAAGGGACACCTGTCCTCCCCAACAGGAGGGTCCAGGAAGGCAGGCTGCTAGGTGGAGCTGACTGACCTGGAAACAGTGGCCTTGGGGATGAATAGGTAGGAGGGAGCCAGGGAAGAAGGGTGAGGGCTCTCTAGGCAGAGGAGTAGCCTGAGGGTGGGGTGGGGGGTGGGTGTTGGAGGTGAGAGAGAAGATGACATGTTTCATGAAGCGAAAGCAGGGCGGTCTGCTTGATGCTGAAGTACAAGGAGAAGGGGTTAGAGGGGAGCCAGAGAGCTGTCAGGGCCAGTCTGAGGCGAGAACTGCTGTGGGTGGGGCTCCTGCGGCCAACCTGAGCAGTGATGGGGACCTTTATCAGCTGGGACAGGAGAGCAGAGAGTTCACGAGGGCAAGGGGCAGGTCTGAGGCGAACCATGCCACCAGAGACTGTCCTTCTGGCGAGGGTGCCAGGCAAGGGGGAAGATGGGATGAAAAGATAGTCAAACACCACACGAGCTGTGTGAGAAAAAGAGCCTCTGGGAGTGTGGCTCCGGTGCCTAGATCACGTGGTGAACTGGGCTCAGCGTGAGAGCACAGGCAGGTGCCAGGTGCTGGTCAGAGCAGGTGGCGAGATGGAGGGCAGGCCCAGCTCAATCCTCAGGCTCAGGTGAGTGGGCCATGCAGCTCCATAGGGGGCCAGTGACACAGGGACTCCATCACACTCATGCAAAAACTATACAAAGAAGAAAATGAAACTACCCCGATCTCACCATCTAGAGATAATCACTTTTAAACATTTTATTATTTAGCATTTCCTTCTATTACAATATCTATAATTACTACAACATATATAATAAATGTGTGTTTGTATATGTGTACCTATATATATGTGTGTGTGTGTGTGTGTGTGTGTGTGTGTGTGTATATATATATATATATATGGCCAGATTATTATGACCACCTGACGTTTGTAGGCAAATTAGCTATAATTTCGCGCTGAAGTTGCTAGAGGGCCAGGCCATTATAAATAGGGAAGCAGGTTGTTTACCACGACAGTGGAAGTGATTTTTTCCTGAAGATATGGGTAAACAATGCGATTTAACAACCTTTGAACATGGGATATATTTGAACGTGAGTGGCCAGATTGTTATGACCACCCCATCAGTACTTCATTGGGCCACCTTTTGCCTTCAATACTGCGGCGATTCTTCTGGGCATTGACTCCACGAGATGTTGAAAGGTGATGCGAGGAATCTGACACCATGCCTGATGAATAGCACTGTCCAGTTCTGTGAGATCTGATGGTTGTAGAACCAGCTGCCTGATGGCTCTTTTAACTTCATCCCACAAATGCCCAATTGGATTGAGATCTGGTGATTGTAGGGGCCACCTAAGCAAAGTAAAGTCTCCCTCATGTTCTTGAAACCACTCCTGCACAATACGAGCACCGTGGCATGGTGCATTGTCTTGTTGGAAGAAGCTATCTCCATTGGGATGCGCCATCAACATGATAGGATGAACTTGATCAGCAACGATACTTAGGTATGTTGTGCTATTCAGACGCTGTTCCACATGAATTAAAGGGCCCAAATCATGCCAGGAAAACATGCCCCAAACCATAATACTGCCCCACCAGCTTGAAGGGTTGTACTCATGCATGTGGGGTGCATGCTTTCATGCTGTTTCTGCCAAATTCTCACTCTGCCATCTGCATGATGCAACTAGAAACGTGATTCATCGGACCACATGACTTCTTTCCAATGCTCGACTGTCCAATCCTTGTGTTCCTGTGCGAATTGGAGATGTTTTACCTTGGTACCTGCAGACAGCAAAGGTGTTCGAACAGG